CCCACCACTCTGTGAACCTGTGAATTTATCCTCCCAGAGTAAGACTCCTGAGATCCCTGTCAAAGAAGCTGAAATGACCAGAAGTTTGTATCATCTGTCCAAAGCACCTCACCTGCCCTTTCCACCTCCCTGCAAGGGGGATGTGGAGCGACAACACATGTGCACACACTGCAGAAGTGTTCTAACTTGCTCCAACAAACATCCCAACATATTCTCACATGAAATGCAGGCAAACCCCTCCAAATTTTCAAGGTATTACAAATATAAACAGTGACTGCAGGCATGCACATGAATGTGTGATTCACAGCAAACATTGTGCCAGATGAGCCAGCAAGGACATGGTCTGGGAGCAAGGGGAGGGGGTATCTAGGGGTAAGCCCGCAGAAGCTGACTACTGGAGGGGAACAGGGAGTCCTGCCTGACTGCTCGAGATAGGTATAGGGGTGTAAGGCAGAACCGTGGCTGCCTCAGACAGAAGACACCTGGGAATACCAAGGATCCAGACCTGCTATGGGATGGAGAGCATGCCCAGATGAGACACTGGGAGGTCAGTAGTGTGTATGTGTTATCTGTGTCCACGTGAGGAGGACTGTACCTCTCACCCTCTGGGGCTGCAGGCCTCAGGGCTCATCTATTCCAGTGCAAGTAACCAGAGGGACAGGGGATCCCGGGGCCAGATATGCACATGAGTATTTCCACTAGGGATCCTTCATCCTGATCAGCCAAGAGGGAAATGATGAGCTTGCTGGTGTGCTTCGCCTGAGTGCTGCGCAGGTCAGCCTGTGTTGATCTGTGTGGCTGGAGGAGCACACCTGTGTGGGTCTATTTTTGGGCATGTCTCTGAGCAACACATTCCCAGGCTTGCTACTGCTTCCATCTGGGGGGACAGCCTCTCCTCTGGCTTACAGATTCATCCCTGCCCCAGCAGTTTAGCTGGAGGTCATGCTCAGCAGAACCACACTTTCTATAGCTCTGCATCAGGGCACAAACACATGGAGCAACAGGGAAGTATTCTTCCAAATACAGGTGTCAAAAAGAAGCAGCTGGAAAATCAATACTTCTCATCAACATCGACACTTCTTTGTAGCTTTTTCAGCCACCGATGTCAAAAATTTTGTTCCAGTTAAAAAGTTACCACCTAGATTCATTCCCTTTGTCTTTAAGCACTGAGCTAAGGCACCTGAATTACATCTGAGCAGTTTCCCTTATCACACAGCAAAGACAAGAATCAGCTTCTAGCAGCGTCTCTCCCCTTAGATAAGCAGCAGCCTAGAGCAATCACTTTCCTCATTCAAATAAGTGATTAGCTTCTACTTCAATTTTGTAACTGTGAAACACACCATGGGTAAAATTGATGTGTTGCTCCCTCAAGTGTGCAAAATGTAATTTTTGGGCTCACTGCAACTCAGAAGTGTTGCTGCACTTTGTATGTCTAATGGGTAGCAATAAAGACAATTGCAAAGGTCCCATTCACCACATATTGCTCCCAGCCTGTGCTTAAAACTGTTCTTCAATTGGTGTCTATGCTACCCTCATTAAAATTAACATGCATAAACATAAAAATAAGGCTACAGCCCTATTTCTAGCAGCAGTGAAGAAAAACCATAAAGGAACTTAATTTCACCAAATCACTGGTTGAGGTTGGAGAGGCCTCTCGAGGTCATCTGGTCCAACCCGCTGCTCAGTCAGGGCTACTCGGAACTGGTTGCCCAGGACCATGTCCTGGAATATCTCCAAGGATGGAGACTGTACAACGTCCCTGTGCAACCTGTGCCAGCGCCTGGTCACCCTCACAGCAAAAAAGTGTTACCTGACGTACAAGAGGGAACCTTCTGTGTTCCAGCTTGTGCCCACACCCTCTGGTCACCACTGAGAAGAGCGAGGCTACATCTGCTTTGCAGCCTGCCTTCAGGTATTTATATACACCGATGAGATCCCCTTGACCCTGCCCAGGTCCCTTTTGATGGATGCATGACCCTCTGGCATATCAGCTGCTCCTTTGGTATCATTTACAAACTTTCTGAGGGTGCAATCTGCAATTTGTGTTGCACAAAATGCCAGCCAACGTCTCAGATCCAAACACGTAAGTCATCACTACTGTTTCACTGACCGGGAGCACAGCTTAAAGGTACAGAATTACTGCCTATCCCTCCAGTTGCTCTCAAAGAACACATGACCAGAAAAAAAAAAAAAAACAACCAAACCATGTGCAGATATGGTCTTTATATTAACTGATTCTTACCTATCTTGTTCAGGATCAGGATTCATAGAGCATACCCAGCTATCAGGGTAATTCTTCTCCACTGAACTCAGCTGGAATGGGAGAGTCCGCCACTTCAGACATACATCTGTTAGACAAACACTTTGCAAATCAGAAATACACAGCCTGAGCCACAAAATTATTTTTTTCCATAGCACTTCTCAAGCTCATTTAACACCCAAGGACCACACCAATTTCCCAAGTATATCCAACAACAGTTAAGACTCATCTCAAATATTCTACCCATTTAGCTGCTCCCCAACTGCAGCCAGAAGTCCCTCCCCACTTCTGCAGGGGGGACCAGCCTCCTCACTGCAGCCTGGTTGGACGCACCACACTGAATTGTGGTAGGGATCTCCATGGCTCTCCGACGTTTGTAGCGCAGTTCACTAGATGGAGGCTGGTTCCAGTTTGCTGACAAATAACCAAATTCATCCCAGAATTTGATGATACCTCTCTGCGCTGGAAAACAAATGAACCCCCACTCAGTATGGAGCCATTACCACAAAAATCACCACATGCACCCTCGGCTGCCCTCCCCATTAGCTGCCTTCCACCTGCAAAAGCTTCCCCTTCCAGTCCCTGGGAACTGTGCAGCTTCATTACCTATAGCAACATCCTTCCAGTACTGAGCCAAATGCTCTCCCATGGCCTTCAGCAAATGTCGATACTCTTTAGCATCAGCAAAGTCTTGTTTATTATGGGTTGGCTCCAGAACCAAATAGGGCACATCCACCACACCTACCACTCCACCACATGCCCTGGAAGAAGGACACAGAGTCACAAACAACACTGAACTGCCAGGTCATTGTTCAGGGAAACAACATTGAAAATAACAGGTTACACACACTCACCCACCCATTCCTGCAGCAGTACTGATTTTAATTTATCAGCTTTCTAAATCAGACTTGAGCCAGCAGCAAAAAGTAAGGTGGGCTCAAATATTTGGATTTGCTTTCAAGACCTATTCTCCCTGTCCCCAGAAGGAGGTAGTACTGCTAACAGTATTCATCAGTCCCAATTGCCAGCACAGAGCATAAAAGCCTCATACTGCTGCAGATATGACCAAAATCTGTGTAGAGAGCTCTCTATCAAGAAACAAGGGGAATACTGTGCAATATTAAATATTAATGTATTTGTCAGAATCCAAACTAAATCCTCATGCTCATAAAGAACGATTCATGCAGAACAAGATCATTGAACAGCCTAAGTTATGTGTAGTTATATGTAACATGCCAGGCCTAAAAAGACTGCTGAAAAATCTCCAGGAACTCACATGCCACCCTCCAGCTGCGGGCCCACCTTCTCATACATCTTGATCAGTCGACTGCAGTTATAAATGAACATGCCATCCAATTCACGCTGCTCAATATTCACACCAAAGATAAAATTCAGTTCTTTGGGTTCCTTCAGTGCCCTGTAAGAGAATGAAACAGAGCTCAGAGATGTTGAAAATAAAAGTAATTAGTTGCTGTCATTAGACAGAGGGTATGGAAATCCATCACCTCTGAGCATTATGGGTTTACTAACAACTGTGTTTAGTCCGCTATTTCTAAAACACATGAAGCATTTTTTGAATGTGCATTACAATTAAATATGAACAAAATACAGAAACTTTGCAACACAGACACTAATTTAGGGTGGACAGTATCTGTTCAGATAATTTAATTATTCATTTGCATTTGTTTTCTCCTTCAGGAATGGATTCTGGGTCTTATTTCAGATCTGCTTATTAAAAAAAGTTACAGTTCACTAGTTTTATGGAAGCGGTTAGGAACAGACTGGTTCTCTCCAATGCTGTTTTGGCTTGTATTTTCCAGATGTAGGTCTCTATGCCAGATAAAGCATGGAAATTAGGATTTTGACACAAAACTACAGTCTTGACATTCAGATTCTGGGAATCTGAATTCCAATTCCAATCATAGTTACAAGTTTTACAATGTGATTACTCTATGTTCAAAAGCTGGAAGACACAACACACAGCCCACGCAGAGCTTTTTTTCTAGAAATTACAGGACAGCAATTTGCGTGATTTCTACTTTAAGCAGCAGACTACTTTTAAAAAAAAAAAAAAGTTGGCCTGCAGTATGTTTGTGAGTACATACAGACCTCTGAATCTTAATCTTTGATTTTCAGGAATTTTATCTCCCAAGATGCAGAGAGCCTCAAGAGGTTTAGATCTCTGCATTCAAACAAAATTCCTGTGTCTCAAAACCAGAACTATTGCTCTTTAATAGACTAAATTAAGGGACTTGCATGAAATCCATGCTGAGGATTTTTCATAATGAGGATCCTCAGATTCAGGCTGAAGTGATACCTTCAAACCTGATGTCCAAACTTTTAACAATTGCAAGGCATAGTCTATATCACTGTCCCACTCACCCCTCTCATTTCTGACCTCCCTTACTTTTCCCCCCACATCATAATAATGATCCCCCCCAATAATTCTTAACTCTTATGTGCTTTATCCCACTTAGGAATTTGGCATCTCATTGAGCAATTAGTTGAAGACAGTGGAATTCTTTAAAATGATCTTTTGACAGCCTACTAACATCAGCTATTAAAAGAACCTGAGTTGTGCATGCAGGAGCACTACACAATAATAATCTGCAGATATAAGATGTAAGTCTGTCTTAACAGTCACACATCTCAAAATAAATCCCTAAAATGGATTCATTCAATGTTAATTTTCTGTTTAAAAGTCACACTCTTCCCCAGACAGATGTACAGGTACCCTGTAACCCACATTCCTTTAAAACAAGTGACTCTAAAGTAAGTTACCAGGAAGACAACTGGAATAGCAGCTTTCAGGAATTTTGAACCTAAACCTTTAACAATAGGTGTTTTGAACACAGCCAAGATAGCAGCTGGGCTAGAGCATGACTAGGTGTGGCAAAACACCCATCTCAGAGATAAATTTTCTAACTTCTGGAAAAGGATGTGGAGCCTTAAATTTCAAGTGACAACATGCACTCACCTACCAAATAGGAAGGGCATCTCCTCATTTTTATCAGAGGACAGGAAGCCAAATTATCATCTGTGCTAGTTTCAAGCAGGGATGAGCTGCTGTCCTGGTGCCAGCCCACAGGATTTTGTTTCACTCCATGACGCATCAAGCCAAGTAGACAGTTTGCAAGGTGTGTGATTTTTGTAAGCGCAAAAGGGGACCCAGGAGGTGAGGGGGTGGGCTAGGAAATCCCTGCTCAGGAAATTCCTGCTCGTAGCTCAATCTTTGTTCGGACCTCGTGGCAGGTGAATAGCAGAGAAGATGCGTCCTTTGTCAGGGAACTGATCTGGGAGGGGGGGTTGGAAGTTTCTTTCTCCCTGCTCTCCACTCCTGGGCTCAGGGAAGGGGGTCTTTTTATCCCACTTTTGGGCTCAGGGGTTTTGGATCATTTCCTTCTCTCCATGTGGATTTTTGCCTTGCTGTTTTGGAATCTGACTGTGTCAGTTCACAGGTGGTGAGATCCTGTATCATATGTTCTATCTTTCTGTTATTTTAAACACTTATTAGCAATAGTATTGTTAGTAACACCGTAAGTTTCATTTGTGTAATTAAATAGTTCTTACCAAAACTTTTAAGAGCTTCCCTTGGTTTTCCTCCACCCCTTCCTCACTATTAGCAGTGGGGAGGGGAGTGGTAGAGTGACTGGTGGTCCTTAACTGCCAGACAGGGCTAAACCAAGACATCATCCAAAACATGGAAAATTAAGTGTGGGCCAAAAGCTCAGGATTTTATTATTAGAACTTTAGTATCTGTCCTATCCACTGGATTTATAGCCTGACTTTACACAGGCTTTAGAAACCAAAAAGCATTTCTTTCACTGATGCACCTAGCACCAGAGAAACAGCAGAAAACTGTTCTACAACATTCTTTGTAATTCAAGAGTTTTCTCAGAGGCTAGAGAAATTGTTGAGTACAGAAGTTTTCCTATCATACACATTTTTCAGGAATTTACTCTGTTTTCTAGATAAGGTACAAGATTATTGGAAAAGCCTTACACTGTGAACTGTGTCTGATCATTGGTGACAAATGCAGTAACACAGGGCAAGTCATACGCCTGCCCAGAGCTGGCTTAGCACCTGGCAGCTCTTGCTCAGTTCACATGGCTGAATCCACATAAAAATCCAGACAAAAGGCCTTTTCCTCTGCTGTTGGTTACCTATCACATATATCTATTTTACTTATCATCACGTATTTGAAACCTGACTAGATATAAACTTTGACGCACCTATAATTGGGGTATTCTTCCAAGCCAGCTGGTTTACATTTCGTGGCCTACAAACCTTCTTAGATTTAAACAGAAAGAACTGCTGAAAACTTGGAATCTTTCATTTCCAACTAATCAATAAAGGGCATAGAGAAGCTCTTTTCAAACAAACTTGTATTGTCCAAGTTCTGAAGGCCAGAAGACCATTCACACATTTTTACTTTGTGCACTAATGCCATCAAACCCAAGAATTAAAAGACAAGCTGTCCATGGAAAAGTACATGGAAGCTGAAGACAACAGCTTCTCCCAGGAGTTTCTGCATTCTTCAGATCACACTTTTAAATTAAAACTGTATTTATTTATTTTTACCATCTTAAGATGCATTAGATCTATCTCTGGCAACAAGTCTGGGATAGTTCTGACCTAAGCAGCCATGTAAACTAGCATGCAAAACAACTAGGTGGGAACAGAGACTTGGTATACACAAATCCCTAACTTTCTCAGACTCAGAATTGATTTTAAAGAGCATTTGTTTTGAAGTAACAACTTCATTTGTGAAATGCATATGACACATCTGCAAAAAACTGTATACAAGGAGTGAAATATTCCTGTCAGTACATCAATAGCACAGTTAATTTGCAACCAGAGCTAAGTTAGAATAGTATCTTGGGATTTCAGTGCACTGCCTATAACAAAACTTAGCAGTTTTTTAGAAAACATCTCTACAACTCCAAAAGCCATGTCACAGTAGCTTGCTAACACTTATTTGCCTGCCTTTTACCTGCAGATGAAAAAGTAAGAGAGTGAAAAAAGCTGACGTAAAAAACAGGTAAACATTTACAGAACACAAGCCAAATCAAAAGATGTCTTTCAGCAAGTAAGAGGGGAATAGCAGAAGCAACCTGAATAGGAAATTCAGTCTAATTGGTTTAACAGCCACAGCATACAGGATGCCCACAGATGTTTTAAGCTTTGAACTGAAATGCTCCCTCCACCACACCAGCAAAGCAGGAGACATCTGAGCATGTGGAGTGACCAACCTGAGAAAACCAGAGCTTCGAACCACCTTGCACTCACCGCTGTTTTGCATCCTTGACCCTTTTCTTGACATCAGCCTCCCGGCGCATGGTTATTGCAGAATTTTGGACTTGACGTAGCATCACCTGCAAACAGGCATCACATAGTAAAACTGCTGCTGTGAAATTCATGAAATTAACTCACTTCTATAACTTTTTCCCCTGCCTGCAAAAAGATCTCGGAAATTATTTAACTGTAAAGAATTCATAACCTGTGGAGGGTGACCATCAGCACACCTTTACATTTAAGGCAGCACTTGCTGCTGGGTTGTGTAAGCAGCTACACAGTTGCTTGGAAGAAAATGTCTAAATATAACGAATTGTCTAAGGTAGCTGAAACCAGACAGTAAATGAGGCACAAGGAAACTGCCAGGGTACTTGGACAGTGCTGTTTCCGTTAGATGTCAATAGGAAATACCGCGATTTTAAACTGGTGTCACTTGCAGACCCACCTGGCAACACCGCAAGCCCACCTTCCACCCAGCAGTGGGTTTGGTCTCAGCCTTGCCCGAATCAGAAGCCACAGCCCCATTGGGAGGAAGCAAACAGCCCATCTCTAAAAGCCCCTTCTGAAATGCTTCGGAGCCAGCTGCGCAGGCAGGGAGGGCAACAGCCAAAAAGCACCCGATTTTACTTCTGTTCAAATACCTCACATTCCCCTGGCCCCTTCTCCACAGGCTAACAACAAACTGAGCGCCTGGGGACTGGGGGTTGCCTTCCTCTTCAGGATATATTGGAGGTTGCGAGCAAGGGAGCAGTCAGCACATATCCCACTTGGGCTGGAAACCACATGTAGATGCTGAAGCACATCCAGTGGTGATGACAACACTGAGCTGCCTGAACACTGCTGGCAACTCACCGCCAACTGAAGTCACTGCCTGTTTAACCTACAGACCAGGTGCTACCACCGGATGCTGACCAGCCAGTGCTGCTCCAACACCAGCGCTTTGAACCATTCCCCAGTGCCTAAAACGTGATGTGCTGGCTAAGCACAAGGCTCACCCTGGACTCTCGCGTGAGATCCCCTCCTAGGCGCAGCTCAAGGGCACGGGCTTTACTCTCTGCCTCACGAGCCTTCTCATCCGCTGAAACACACAGGGAAAAGGATGATGTCCACCATTCAGTACAGACAGCATATCATAAGGCCTGAGGAGACCAATTTCCAGAGAGCTTTGCTTACATGTACACAGGTAGAAAGGTAACACAAAAAGGTACAAAGTAAAACCCTACATGAGAGGGCACCACAGGCATGCCATCTTAAACATCGTGAGAGGTCACAGTCAACACCGGCATAATAGCAGGGCTAAACTCTGGGAAAGCATGTCTAAAGGGAGGATCCATGAGGAAGTTAGTGAGGAACTGGAAAGAATAAGGATCCAAGTGGCCCAGCCTGCACTGCCTGGAAGTGTGAAGGCAGATAAAGGCTCTCACAAAACAAAGACTGAGTTCAAGTTTGAAAAGGATTTACAAAGAGGCAATTTTCTTGCAGAGATGAAGGGAAATGACTACTCTCAGAAATGCTTTTATCTTTGATAATTGCTAACTGACCACTACACCTGATCTTTGTACACACAAAGTTTACTACTTCAAAAAAACGCCCCTTTTCACTTCTCTCCCAGACTGCCAACAAGACTGCCTGACACCCTCGTATTGCTTAAGGTTCATTCAGTAAATGTGATTTTCACCAAGGACATAAAAACTCCTTAAAACTGAGACAGAAGGTGCTTTGGTACCTTAGCACCATGTACCTTACATCTGCATGCTCTCCAACGAAAAGCACACTGGCTACAAACCTCTCATGTTCCCTTACAGGTCAGAAGCCTGTTCTGCTCACAGCTGCACAAAAAACAGTTGAGTGAGTAATCTTCCTCCATCCCATAGGCTATGAGGTCCATGGGGATAAATGTGGATGGGCAAGTAATGCCCTGTTTGGACAGGGTAAGTCGGACCTGCCACATGAAAGCATCAATGTGGTACATGTGCTGTGGGTGCAGCACTGACCTTGCTGCAATGTTCCCCGTGCTCACTTCCAAGCACGGAGATTTCTGAAAGAGGATGCAGCAACACTGCAGCCTTCATGAACTGTAGAGATTTCTAAAAGAAATAGACTGGTATAAAGAAATTTTGAGCAGAAATGTTTATGTTCAAGATGACTAGAAGAAATATTAAACACGGGGTAAATGTGTGGCATGTGCTGACAGAAACAGACATGATTGGAAATACAACTGGTACAAGCTATGGGGTGGTGTGGCTTACCCCAAGGTGAGCAGCAGGCCTGCACCCCCACAGTGGGAGGGCAGCAGCACAGTTGCAGCATACCCTATGAGCCATCTGCCCTCCTGTTCTCCCAACAGGGAGACAAACTGAGGCTATGAGACACCCAAAACAAAGAAACACAACAGTGACCATGCCTAAGATTTACGGAGTATGAGGTAAACAAGAAGATGACAGGACAGTAGTTGCCTCCTCAAGATTACCAAGCACCTCTCCAAAAAGCATTACTCCGTTGTCAGGCAGAAGGAATCCAGATACTGTAACCAGTATCCACTGTCCTCCATGCCATGGTTAGCACTACTTGCAGAAATGCGTGTTTTTGGTGTGTGCAGGTACGAGAATGCAAATGGGCACAGTCAGCCTACTCAGACTCAGTGTTACATCTGAGTTTTGTTCCACTTACTCCCACAGAGGGGGACGTCCGCAGAGGCTTACCAAGCAAGTCACAGCACAGCTGCACTGTGCAAACTTCATCATCAAGAGACAGCTTGGCTAAACTCAGAAACACAGGAGTTTGGAAACAGCTTAAAACACTCGGTCCATTTAAATCAAAGCTTGTATGGTAGAAGCTGGTGGGCTACGTGCAGCTGTGTCTAGAGGGAAGAACACAGCAGTGACCCATAAGGGCAGAGGTCAAACCTGCTCCATTAATGCAATGACAGCTGAGAAGGCATGGCTGACAGAGAACTACTCCGTTATGAGGGCTGAGGAAAAAATGCATTCCCTAAGTGCATTCACATCCTTCCAGAGACAACAGGCATGGCATACTCTGAACTAATATTCAGTGCAGAACACAGCGCTGTTAAAGACTTTCACTACTGGACATGCACATAAATCCTTACCTTTTCTGTTTGTTTACTTTTCAAACTTTGTAAGAGGATTTCTTGAAAATAGGCAATGGCAATACTGAGATGCCTCGGTGCAGTATTCAGTCTTGCTTCAGAAATACACAGAAAGCAGCTGATGGTCTTTCACAGCTACTCTGCCCAGAACAGTACTTTTTTCCTGGATCTATCCTCTCACTTAAGGATCTGGATGCTACAGCTTACTGGATGCTACTTCCTACACGAGGCAGGAAGTCAGTTTCCAGGGAATGAAGAGCAGCTTTTCCTCATCTTAAATGTATGTATGTCTTCACCTCTGATTCACGTGTCTTTTTGGATAGGCCAAAGCCATGTCACCAACAGTCACAGCTGTGCATACATCTTTTTTTTTCCCTTCCCCCTACAGCTATTTTTCAGTTATCTGAAGTTTTAGTTCAACAAGCTCATAAGCTATGTCCAGAGACACATCAATCCCTCATTAGAGTTCTGCAGTAAGACAGATTCCAACACATCCTTGGCAGGCAGCCATGGTATACTGGAAATTCAGTTAGCTCAGCTGAGACCCACCATTTCTCACAATGCACTCCTAGTTTTGAAAGTGAAAACTGCAAATCATTCCCTGGTGAAGATCCCTCCTAAAAGTGGTGTGCATCCTCAAGAGAAAACATATTCTGGAGATTACAAGAAATTAACCTTTTCTACCAATAGCAGAACAAGAGAACTTTGTTGTTACAGATTACACTCATTTTCCTAGAAGCAAAGAAATGAGATGTGTGGCATGTAAGCTGAGGTTAATGCTACGAGAATGTTTTAGTCCTACTGGCTTCATGTGATGAAATCTTGCAGAAAAAGTCTGAAGTCTCTCATGAGTTTTCATCACCATGTTCAAAGCCCTTTGACTGAGCACCCCCTTCACCACCAGAGGCAGTGGGCTAACTTTGGTGATGAAAATGAGTTTATGTTTCCATGTCAATGGTATCTGTTCTTTGCACTGGGACACCAAATGGAGGTATTCTTCAGTGTCAACACACTACCATTCACCTTTTAAACATCATGAAGGCCTCGTGGTCTGCTGCAAGAAAGAAGCCTCTCTGAAACACGCTATTTACACCCTCTTAAGGCAATTCAAGTGTGTGCTAAACACCTGCTTTGGCTACAGGATTCAACCTAAAAAATAAATTAATCTACAAGAACTGAGGGACAGGATAAAATCTGTTTAAACTTCATAGTTTCAAGATTATCTTATTAGGTTGTACTTCATAAATGAGTAATAGGGAACACAGCTATTCACATCATTTCTTTTTGTTTCTAATGACTCTGCACAAGCTGAACATGGCACCACTGCTTGTGTATCTGACCACCACACATATGCACACGTGCCTAGAGCAGCTCTTACACAGGGAGAGAGGACACAGGCTTCTGATTTACGAAAGTTACCAGAAGATATGGTCAACATGTCTTACAACTTCCCGGATTCCTCCTTCACTACAGCATTTCCCCATCAAGGGTTAGGGAGACTGCTTTGTATGTAAAATTTGCACAAATACAATGAAGTTATATGCTCCATTTATATGTTTATGTAATTTCTATAGGCTGAATATCCAATAATGTCAATTCGGGCTTTTCTTGAGGACTACAGGACTTAATAGGAAGGGAACTCTAGAGGGACAAAAGGTATGTTTGAAGGGGGACAAAACCCAAGAAAGAAACCAGGACTCCCTTGGACACCTAGATCAATCACTTTACATCAAGTGGCAGAATTAAAAAAATCTATTTTTTGAACAACTGCTTAAACAGTGAAGGAGCAGGAGAACTGAACCTAAAGCTAAAGATATGCAAAAGGTGAGAGCAGAACTGTGAAGTAACAGGGGGGCAGCTTAGCCAGGCTTCAGCTGGAGCAAGGGCAGACAGATATGGGTCCAAGGGTTATTCTGTACATGTATTCCCTAGAGGAAGTGGGCTTAGGGAACAACGTATGTTCCTTCCATTGCATGGAAGTAAGTCTGGGTCATCTCCAGCAAGGCAGCCTCTTTCAATCCTTTGTTACAGCAAAATCAGGATGCATTCATACCCCAAACACTCACCTATCCTTGCCATGTGCTCTGCTTTCTTCACTTCTTGCTCTGCACGGGTCTTGAAACGATTTGAAGTATATTTGTACATCCTGTGATGATCAAAACTTATTAATCAGCAAACTAGCAGGAAGGTCAGACCAAGATTTCACCACTGTATGACAGAATAAGGTCTCCACATGCTACTCTACTCTTCTCAATAGATTCAATAAATGGAGAAGCAGTTTTACACATCAGGAACTGGGTATTTTTGGATGCAGCTACGCAAAAACTTTTAAAGTCAGAGATGCTTTAGTAGTAGCTGAAATCACAATGCCCCCTTCTGCATTAGCTGATGGGAGCGAAACATACCCATACTTCTGGAGGAAATTCCAAGGTACAGAGGAAGAACTTCAGAAGTGGAAAGGAGGAGTGAATATACATGGAAAGCTTCTAAAAAAACTCCCATTATAGGTAAAGAACCTTTGCTTTCCTCCTACAAACAGCTGTCCACAGGTGCAGTCTGACAGTGCACATCTCCATTCAGGGCTAGCTCAACACATCTAAGTGGCAGAGCAACTCTCTGAATGGAGCTTCAAGTTTCAGCTCTGAAGCTTCAGGACATTTCTGTATGCTACAGTTATGACTCACAACCTTATAAATTGTGCTTGAGTTATAGTGTCTTGTTTCACCTTCTCTATATCATGCCAAATGCAGATCACAATCTGACTGACTACTGCAGAGTGAAAGAGGCAGGCACATATGAGAGGCAAAGCTTGTGAGTGTGCATCAGCTCTGTGCAGAGACACGTAACTGGGGGAGATGACAAGTATGATCAGAGCCTGCAGGAACACAAACCGCCTTAAGACACATGTTTTTTGATGTATCTAGAGGCAAATCCCATCCCAAGTAACTTTTAATAAAAAAATAAACCTCTTCAGCATTTAGCCAAAGCAAAAGCCACTTGAAATGCTGTTTTTACAGAGAGGCAAACATAAGGCTTGATTGACCAACTCATTAATGTAGGAGGAACCACATTTAGATCCCAATAAGAGCCAAGATACCCCCAAATGGCAGATAATCAGTATCCATAAGAAATCACCTTGCACAGATGAAAAGTTTTGTTTAGGTATGTTTCTGTGGGCGAGCACACATGGAGGTCGATTCTGATGTCAGAAATAGTCTCACCAACAGAAATCCCTTGTTTCCAAATCCAGAAAATTCACACCACAAGCACAGTCCACTTTAATACATTTCTGCATCTGCTAAACTCTTATTCTGCTGTTCATAAGGAACTGCGGAAAAAGCACCCAATACCCATGTTAGGAGATGCAAAGTCAGGTTTTCGGTGGTGCCATCTCCTCAAATCTACTTACGGGCAATTAAAGCTACCTGGGGCTGAGAGAGAGGAGACATCCTGAAAACCACACTGCTTTCAACACACTGGCATAATTATATTACCTCAACCACATCCTGTCTGACTTTCCTGAAGGAAAAAAAAAAAAAGGAGAAGCAAGTGAAGCTGAATTATCCCAGCTTGTGAGGCAGGATGAAGAGGACCTTTTGGACAGCACCCCAGTTGCAACACTGTGCAGTGCCAACAACTACAGGGTGTCCCAGATAAGCACCGTGAGCCATCACTGTGCCTGCCCTCCCGTTCCACTTTCTCTTCCAACACCAAATAACTTCAGTCACAGCCAGGAAAGTTCTAGACCTATTCAATTGGTCTGAAACAGCATACCTAGCAAAGACATACAGAAACAGGTCAGGCAGACAAGAAATCTGCAGGAGTTCATTACAAGTGCCTTGGAGTGCCCTCATGAAGGGCCAACCCTTGCACATGGCTTGGCTACCTCTATCTGCACAGCCTGCGCTGTTAAACAAGCTCAAATAGTTACTAAGGATGGGGAGAGATGGAAGCAACCCTTCAAGAGACACAAGGCATTCCCAGGGAGGCTGGTACAGTGGTATCACACCTGCAAACACTGGTGAAGGACCTGCACAAAACCAACCTGCCCCTGCCACCAGGATGTTACACATTCCAGAAAGGTATAGAGAAACCTCTACCCACAGAAATGTAGCTTCCAGGAAGGGCAGATGACAATAGGAAAATAAGTGCCCTGCTCAGGAGACAAGCTGTTATTCCTGATGAAGAACAGTGCAACAGCTGCAAAATCTCAATTTTTGGTAAAGGCACTTAAATACCCTAAAGCCCACGACGGATTTCCATTCTTTGTTCTCTAACACCAACACCTGCAGACAAGCCACTGTACAAGCTTTTCCTTCAGCGACAAGGGCAATCTGACTTACAGTCCTAGTGTAGGCTCCCCTTGAGCCACCACCTATAGCTGTAAAAGCAGAGTAACTCCACTCCCAGAATGGACTGATTTACTGGTTTTCCCTCAGGAAAGAGCCACCCAGGGCAGACTAAGCTCTGCTCAGGTATCTGAAGGTAAAAGATTGAGTTTCCACAACCCATCCAGGGCACAGTGGGGGCACCTACCCCAAGGGCTGTTCTGTGTCTCAGAACCCACAGTGAAGGCTTCAATGGCTCGTCCCGATGGCCATGCAGCTTCTGGAGCCCAACCCTGATGTCAGGAGTCTAAGACCAGAAGGAAGCAGTTTGGACACTCTCCAGAAAGACTCGGTAAGGCTACAATAATTGTCCCAAGTCCAAGAAGATCTACACTGTGCCTTGCTTGCACAGTCTTTACTACTCTGCTGCAGGAGTGGGGATTTTAAATGTAAATCTCTTTAGAGTGCTGGAGAATATTTATTGACCTACCACCATAAGCAGATCTACATGGAGTCTGCAAAGATGTGGCACAAGCAGATTTGTCAGATAAACCTGCACCAGCACTGATCCCATGAGCATCAGCATATGGCACCTTAGCCCAGCATTGCTTCATCCCCCAGCATAAGCTCCATTTACCACAATTGGCCCCTGAGCACCCCGCATTACACCACTAAGACTATACTGCAGTCAGTGTAACCCATCCTGTGGTTGGGCCTTCTTGCCCTCCATGCCAGATCATTCCTTGGTCACAAATTACTATTGCTGAGCAGTTACAATTTGATTTTCCCCTTCTATAGCTGCAACTATTCCCCCCAAAAAATGAAAAGCAGATACAGAATTGGTGAAAGGGATCCAAAAGAACTGCTGTCTAAACTGTTTAAAATCACAGTCTCTTTTCAACAGAAAACAATCATAGAATCATAGAATCATAGAATGGTTTGGGTTGGAAGGCACCTTAAAGATCATCCAGTCCCAACCCCCCTGCCATGGGCAGGGACACCTTCCACTAGACCAGGTTGCTCCAAGCCTCATCCAGCCTGGCCTTGAAGGCAGTATAGAACAAAATTCTCATATCCCTCCTCAGACATCAACTACTGACCACTTGAAAAAGCAGATACTGAGGCATATGAACATCTGGGGTGACCTGGTCCATGTTATATTATCATAATAATGCTATCACCATCCCATAACAATGGCACCCTGTCTTTGAGTCTCGCAAGAAGCTGGTCTCCGGTGAGATAAAAACCTGTGCCCTCCTCCTCTGCTTTCTCTCCACTGTACTTTTGTTGGACTGTGGCACAAGAGGAAGAAGCATATGTCACTCACATGCAGGTAAAACACAGTCAGAAATTAATAGATTCTCTATTCACAAATCAGGATTTCCAGTGGCAAGTCAACCTGCACATACCAACTGTGTTCTACAATTAAATGGCTGGCTTAGTCAACAAGGGGAGAGCAATGGGTGTAATCTCCTTTGACTTCGGTCAGGTTTCTCATACCATTTCACATATTTTCCTTTAAAAAACTGAGGAAATAAGGGCTTGACAGGCAGACCATGCTTTCAGTTGAAAACTGGCCAGGTTCTTAGGGCAGCAATCAGTGGCGTGACATCAGATTGCAGTTAGTAAAAGTACCTGATGGGTTGATAGTGGGTCCATACTACTGAAACACTCCTGCAATCCAAAATGCTGTATTAAAGCAATCTGCAAATACTCTGTAAAATTACTACTACTACTACTACTACTACTATCTTATTAAGACAAATCATGTTAAGGTATCTAAAATGCAACCTGTGTGCTCCCATGAACAGAAGAACACTGTTGCCTCAAACAGACTTAAATACACATTTTCCTTTCCCCTCCCATCCTTATGACCTTTTCCAGTCCCTGTTAAGTCAAATGGCAGCACACCTCAGCTCACTTGGAATTTTTTCTTTAATTTAAAAGGAACATAGGGAAAGGTATTTCCCAATCTCTATTAAAATCTAGAATCATAGATTCTTTTAGGTTGGAAAAGACCATTAAGATCACTGAGTCCAACTGTTAACACTGCCAAATCCACCACTAAGCCATGTCCCTAAGCACCGCAACTACACATCTCTTAAATGCCTCCAGGGATGGTGACTCAACCACCTGCCTTCTTCCACTGCCTGACAGCCTTTTCAGTGAATACATTTTTCCCTGTATCCAATCTAAACCTTCCCTGGTGCAACTTGAGGCTGTTTCCTCTCATCTTATCACTTGTTATGTAGGAAAACAATCTGACACCCACCTCTCTGCACCCACCTTTCAGGTAATTGCAGAGAGCTGTAAGGTCTCCCCTGAGCCTCCTCTTCTCCACAATGAAAAACCCCAGCTCCATCAGCTGCTCCTCACAGGACCTGTGTTCTAGACCCTCCATCAGCCTCGTTGCCCTTCTCCGGACACGCTCCAGCCCCTCAGTCTTTCTTGCAGTGAGGGGCCCAAAACTGAACACTGGATTTGAGGTGTGGCTTCACCAGCAAAGGGGGACAATCAATGCCCTGGTCCTGCTGGCCATATTGTTCCTGCTGCAGGACAGGATGCCACTGGCCTTCTTGGCCACCAGGGCACACTGCTGGCTCGTATTCACCTATATCAGCCACATAGGAATTTTAATTTTCAAAGCAACCGTTAGGAAGTGCTCAATCTAGTTTCTTTTCAGTAAGAATTCTAACACCCACCAAATGTATTTACTTGTCCTACTTTAAAAAAAAAGTTACCCAACAGTTAGCATGGATATGGCATTTTGAACAACCAATATCTTAATTTATTTGATTGTTCTGAAAGGAAGCCAAATTGCACAAATTACACGATTTTCTAAGGTATTAGATTTTCCACTATCTACCTGTTTTTCCATTATGTCAATACCACATCCCATTCTCTTATGATCTGTTTCTGTGGTTTTAACATGAAATTTATGTAGGATACACCTGGAGAGCAAAATACTAAACCTTTTCTGTAAGGAAACTGCAAGAGGTCCCATACATCTGTAGACTTCAGGTCCAACGCTTACCTTGGTTTGTACAGACAGCATGAAAGTCGTTTGGTTTGTACTTTGTGTCCATTTATGAAGATCCTCATTCTGGGATCAATATAAAGCACAGCAGCATAGGCACGGAAGGAGCGGCGCTCAGGCTTTCTGCAAGAGAGGGATGCTTACAGAGACAGAGCAGTTTGTTCAGCATTTCTTTGCATGACTACCAGCAGACATTCTCCCAGTCTGCTCCCTGTTGCCCAGAAATGCCTCCATCGATTTACCCCGAGTAATCAGTGTCTCTCTAGTAAGAGTCTCCTCCAATCTGCATACTGCTTCCTCTTTCCTTCAATTTTTTCCTCTTCATTCCCCTCCAATTTATAAGAGCCATAACATACTACTGTCTCAGAGCCTCCTCTGTCTAAACTAAATTAACAAGTTTCTCCATAGACAAAACTTGCAAGATTCTCATTTCCCAATAAACTGCTGCCCAGGAGCCAACTGGCCACCAGAACCACATCCCCACACTGCTCTGCACTACCCACGACGTATTTTAAGCACCTATGGCAGGATTCACACCTCATGCAACTGTTACCAGCACAGCTCATAGCCATCTACTTCAAAATATGTCAAAGAGACAACCTTCAGCAAGAAAGCTAGGTAAAAAACAGGCCTTTATTTTAATTATCATGCAGCTACATTAAGTGAGACTTTTCTTTAAAATTTTTTCTACCTATGTCTTCTACAGAGATTTTCTATTGAGCTGTACATCTAAATGCCATTACAAAACACTTATGTATATATTACTGTAGCTTGAAAAGGATGTTTGAAGACAGCTGAATAATAAAGGCCAAGCCTATAAATTGGACCATTTAACACTGTGTGTCCCACTTGCTAGTGCATTCTCTTACCCTTTGTTTAGTCAGCAGTATGCTCTGACAGAAACTGCACTGATCACACAGAGAAATGCTACTGCAAGGTCAGGAGGAAGTCGTGAAAGCTCATCAGCAGGCATTGAAGAAACCGAGAATCATATTAGAATCCTGGACACCCCCACGGAGTTGGCTGCACCTGTGTACTCAGTGCAAGCTAATACATATAGAAATAGCTAGGTTTACAGTGTTTGAAACTGTATTTCTATGGGAAATTCAAGCACTTCAGGGAAGAAGCATGTAATCTCATAAAAAAGGTAAAGCTTGCTAGGTGTGCCCATGGAGCTCTGGGATTTAATCAAGCATTTGGCTCAGTTCAGCTCAGTTTTTCCTTTTCAGGCTACAAGTGAACAACTTGGCAAACACTCAGCTCTCCCTGAACAGGGCCCTCTGCTCCTCCAGCTGCGCTCTGAGGCACATGCTTCTTACTCCTCTGCAGGGAAGTGCAGAACCTGCCCCTGGACCCAGACAGATGTGGTGATACAAACCACCTGCACCCACCTGTACAATTCACTCGTGGAGGTTGAGCTGCGCAGCACCTCACATTTTGCTGGGCTTCATTTAATCACAAAACTGAACATCAGTTTGAGTGCTGCACTGACCCATGACCAGCTGTCTTTATGACGAAAACATCTTTGATGAGTGTAGAAAATTAAACCTATAGCTTAGAGCTCCTTTGTTTTAAGGTGCCTAAATAAGGGCATCGAGTTTGCTGCTTTGACTAAGCTGAGACAAACCAAAGCAGGCATTCACACCAAACACAACCATAACACCTGCAAGCCCTTTACATGCATGAATTCCAAACTGATAAAGAACAAACTAAAGATCTTCTCAATTCTCCAATTCACCACAGGAAGATAAGCTTTTAAAAAACACATGCACACAGTATATAGACAAATCCTACACATAATCTGATTAGAGCCCAGGGGCCTGTAACACCTGTCACACTTACGTTCCCTCTGGGGGTGTTTCTGCCATCTGAATGTCTCGGGGGTCAGAAGTCACATCCAGTTCTGGCTCTCCATTATCCATTAGTTTGAGGTTAAAGATGATCACCAGGGTGCCTGCACAAGCAACAAGTTGATCAGATGTATCTCAGCCAGACCCCAAATACCTTGCCTGGGACTAGCAACGTCCATACGCACCTTTCTCACCACGGATCTTACAAAACTGCTCCATCACTTCCTGTTCTGATTTGAAAGGGGAATACTTGTAAATTAGCTCTGTCTCAATAGCAAACTTCTCCATGTTGTCGGTTACAGGCTCCTGGCTTCGTGCGTTCCAGGTGGGCAGGGGAACTATGACCTGCAAATTGCACCATACCAAGAGCAACTCAGGCTCATGCACTCCAGTCAGCCCCCTTCTGTGGCTCATGGCCAAGTGACCCACCCCTTCCAACAGCCCCCTAAGTTACTGCAAGAGTCCTTCCTAGCTTTTCAGTGGCTTGCATATCTCAAATGCTCAAGCACCCCTCTTGCCCCTCTGAGTTGCCTTCCTACAACATCTAGTCTTAGAGTGAAGCATTCCCAAAATAACCTGTATGGCACTGGCTACTCACACACTCTATGTCTTTTTTCCCCTCCTCTTGTAACAACTTTCATAATACTAAAAAAACACCCAAACTTTGCTTCTTTAAAAATGTCAACCTCTGTACTTCTCTCTTGAACTCAAATATCCTCCAGTCATATTACCCTGATTTCCCTCTTTACTATTTTTATAGGATTCTTGCAAGTTTATTGGTGTTTTCTGTCATTCAGAACAAAAACCCAGATAGAACTATAGACTGCAGCTGCCCATCAAGGATAGTGAATGCTGTCCTCATTTTAGATTTGAGGTCAAGCCAAAATTTCTGGCTCCAGAGCCACTGTAGGAACTACATCACTGTTCTCAACTTGCTTCAACCATCAGCTGGCCACTAGCAAGCATTGCTCCCTCAACAGCTTCTTTATAGAGCTCCCTCCACTATCCCACTATAAAATGCTTTCTTAGATATTATCACAGCATTTAAGAGTCTGGATACAGAACAACAATGCCTGAATTACCTATTAAGATATGCAAGTTTTCAATAGGTAGAACCACACTGATTTTTATTAAAAAGATCTGAAAGAAGAGACATGTCTGGAAATCATGACCTGCAGGTAGCAACTTCAATCACACCTTTAATTCTTTACAGAAAATCAAATCAAGAGCAATAGATTTAAATACATCTCAAACTCAAATTTTGTGGGAAAAGAAAATGCAAGAAGTCTGGACATGTCCTGAACTCAGCATACATGAGTGATGTGTATGATTGAAACAAGCCCTTCAAACTTGCTGTAGTTTAGAGACACCTCTCAAGCAGCATCAAAAACAAAAGGAAAAAAATCTTTGATGACTTTGCAGATCTCTACAAGTGTATCACCAAGAGAAAACCATACCCTGATCCAGTGAGAGTGGCAACAACACTGACACAGACTTCTCCTGTGAGAGCTGGGGAAGTTCAGATGAGACAGCATTCACCACATTAGTTCATTACAACAAAGCACATGCAAACCTCATCGATGCCCTCTTCCTCATGGAAAGTTCGTGACAAGAGCAGGCAAGTCATGGTGTTGTCTTTCTTTGTGAACAGAATAAAATCCTTCCCAATCCGCATGGAACCCCTGGAGACAGATTTCGGGCTGCACGTTAAACCTGATGCACAACACTGTCTAGAAAGCAGACCAAGTTATTGCGTTTCCTTCTCACTAGGTTCAATTATGAGATGCCAAAACCAGGTAAGGCAGAAGGACTTAAAAAAGCAACTACCATTTCTCTCTAAACATCTCATCCTTTCAACAGGCATCTCAATCTGGACATTTTCATCATGTTTTGAAACATTTAACACTAGTCACAATTAGAAGGGGCAAAAGTACAGTGTGGCTTCCCAAGATCATACTATGTAGGTTGTTTTTTTTTTAAATTTTAAGGTTTGGGGTTTTTTTTAAATATAAGAAAGATGACCAGGGTGAGCAGGTGACAATACCTTCCAAATATACATGCATAAGTGTAACTGAGAAAGCAAATGCACTCTTCATTTCACTGTACACAGAGTGTCTGGGAGAGAGACTATTTATTTCCTAATGCCTACTTTGAAAGACTCACTGACACTTCAGCTAACACAACTCAGCAGCTAGTTGTTAGGAAAAGGGACAGTCTCACCTTCCTCCCTACTCTCCTATCCCCAAGAGTGCCTTCCCCATCTTCTCTTTTACCCTGTTAGCCAACTCATCCAAAAAACCTTAACAGAGAAAAATTAACACTGCATCAAAAGAAGGATTAGCATTGTGTCAGTTCAGTTCTCTTTAATTAGTTTAAAGTGATACCAAAGCTCACCTTTCACATGTTTAGGCTTCAGCCTGCATTTCTCAGCTGTAATATAGCATGCTTCTTGCTCAAGGTTAAGAACAGGATAGAGATGTATCCTGGAAGTGCACAGGTAGGATCTGGAATGTGTCCTGCACTGCAGCTGAATCAATAGTTTCCCAAGATCCCTTACATCCCCTTTTTTCTTTCCCCCCAGATTACAGAGTCCCACAGATTTCCCCAGTAGGATACATTCTAAATAATATGTATTAACTAACTAACTAACTAATCAAGCTACATGGAACCGCATAAAGCAGAAGAGTCTATTGGAGTAAGCCATAAGAGCCCTCTAACTTTCCCAAAGACATCAGTTCACTTTGAAACTTTGAAAGTTTTCAACTCACAAAGTTTCTTTTTCCTAGCAAACCCCTTCCAACCAGTATCATTTCCTTCCTGCCTCTTTCTCTGCCACTTCATCACACTCCTCCTCTCATTTCTTCCATCATTCCCCTTCCTCTCCATGCATTAGTCTGAATTAAGAAAAAAAAGGTTTATGTCCATCTGACTTATCATAGAATCATAGAATCATAGAATCACTAGGTTGGAAAAGACCTTAGAGATCATCCAGTCCAACCGTATCTGTCCACCACTAAACCGTATCTTTCAGCACCTCATCCACCTGTCTCTTAAACACATCCAGGGATGGTGACTCCACCACCTCCCTGGGCAGCCTGTTCCAGTGTGTGATAACCCTTTCGGTGAAGAACTTCTTCCTTACATCCAATCTAAACCTCCCCTGGCACAGCTTGAGTCCATTCCCCCTCGTCCAATCATCTGTCATTCGGGAGAAGAGACCAACACCCACTTCTCCACAACCTCCTTTCAGGGAGTTGTAGGCAGTGATCAGGGCTCCTCTCAGCCTCCTCTTCTCCAGGCTAAACAAGCCCAGTTCCCTCAGTCGCTCCTCACAAGACATATTCTCCAGACCCTTCACCAGTTTTGTGGCCCTTCTCTGGACACGCTCCAGGACCTCAATGTCTTTCTTGTAGTGAGGGGCCCAAAACTGAACACAGTACTCGAGGTGCGGCCTCACCAGTGCCGAGTACAGGGGGAGAATCACATCCCTGGACCTGCTGGCCACGCTGTTTTTGATACAAGCCAAGATGCCGTTGGCCTTCTTGGCCACCTGGGCACACTGCTGGCTCATGTTCAATCATGTTCAACTTGCACCAGACAACTTTCCTAGTGAGAGGCTGCAACACTATTTTGTTCCAGTTTTACTATCTGTCTGCCACAGACATATTAAGGTTTTGTTTCGTGCTCTTTCAGTTTTTTTCCCCAGCTCTGATCCACATTCTCTGTATCATGCAAACATAATGGCAAAACACTGTCATCAGCTCTGGACAGACTTCTCTGCCACTGAAGAACTACTGCAGATGTTCACTGAGGTCCTGTCTGCCAAACTATGGTACCTTTTTTTAGATTTCATCTGCGCTTTCTTTAAGCACAAAATGCCCCGACAATCTCATCTCTAACCTTCATAATCTCAGGAGGCTGGCTTTTGTTATACCTACGATTTTAAGCCGTTCCCATACTGCCCAATTTGAGTTGACTCAGGTGATCGCTTGGCTGATTTACCAAACTGAGTAACACTGGCAGCTTCATCTGAAACAAGAGACAGGGAACAACAAAAGTTTATTTTAATATACACACACACATCTTCTTGATAAACGTACTCACCACTGTAATTAGCACAGAAAGACTGTATCATGGAAGAGGACAGAAGCCCAAGCTGAAGTCTCATCCTGAACCTCTACCATACAGCCCTGTAAGATACAGGCTGCCCAATGGCATTTACATTATCAAAAGCTTTGCACAGATGCCATTATGCTGCCAAAAAGAGTTTTAAGTTTCAGACTAGCCCAGTGCTCTATCTTAACCACACTAAGACATTTCTTTTTACAAAAAAATGTCCACAAGATGATTCGTTCTGTCTACCACAATTATCAATATGCTCATAAACCAAAACATACCCTGGAACACTCAGCTCTGCTGTACTGTGTGTACTGCTGACGTCACAGACTCAAAACCAGACTTATGCACTAGAGCATAAGTCAGTACCATAAAAAAGCCTCAAATTCAGGATAAACATTACTTTTTCTTCATGGCACTGAACTGAACATTATGATTAATTAAGGCACTAGCAAGACAAAAGCTAATCTTTGCAGCAGACTGCTGGACTACTGAGAGCAGGACCGCTGTGAGTGAAAAGCCAGTACTAACAAGTACCACAGCAACTAATGGAGTATTTTATTAGCACAAGATAAAACAAAAGGATGTGATGGCTTTAAAGCTGAGAGGGTGTGTCATTTTTAGTTCAAGCCTTTCCATTGTTCAAGGGACAAAGCCTTTTAACATCATCCACAGGACAGCAAAATTCCTCTCCCTTCTCCCAAGAGAGAGCTATCATTTCACTATAGAGTGTACTGGGAGAAATGAAATGCAGTTCCAGAGACAAGGAACACAAAGTGCCTTAACAGGAAGGCTAACAACAATTGCAGTCCTCAAATGCATACACCAGCTGTGAATACAGGACATCACTCCCCCCACCAGCCAGCTACACGGAGACTGAGCCCATGGACAAACTCAATTTAAGCTTACAGGAGCCTTATACATGTCCACTAGTACTGACAGTGAGATTTTATAGTAAGATGTTTAGTACTAACACCATTGGTCTAACACAAATTCACTGAGCTGGGTGTCACAATATCATTGTACACTGCAATGACATTCAGATTTAAAGCCACACATTACAAGGTGAAAATAAAGAACAACTCTGCAAGCACCTCACTGGATGAATTCACTATGTTGCTACTGGAGGTCCACAGCTATTTCAAAACACACTTTTGACTGGATGTGAGTACCTGTTCCTTTCCTTCAGCCTACTATAGTATTTTCTAAGCAAAGAAAACATCAGATTATCTCGTATTTGAAATCCGGATAAGGATATTGTTGATGAGGATATTATTACCATGACTGTATTAAAGTCTGGTCATAAAAGGGGATAGGGGATATTCTAAGAAGAGAAAGCTACTGGAACCCTTTTGCTACACAAAGAGTTGTATCAACTATTTTTAAGAAAACTTTGAGAAGCTTAAAAAGGTAAAGGGTAAGTGTCCAAAGCATTTCATCTCTCAGAAAAGGTGACCATATGGTTTATCACTCAATGCTGAATGTCCAAAACCACCCTCTTCTTTCTGGGCAGAGGGACAAAGATGATGCTGAGCAGAGGAGCACTACTTAGGAGCACCTCTCTCTGTTTCAGACTTGCTGTCCTTGAGAGAGATTTAATCTTTACCTCCTCCCAGGAATCAAAGTACAAATGCATTTTTTCCCAGCTTTTTTGAGTTAATGTTCTGGAGGGAGTTTCACTGAAGGCTATTTTAGTCACACTGTTTTCATTTTGTCCTGTCTCAAGAGCGGCTGAATTTTAAAAAAAAAACAAACTCCCTGGCAACAAAAAGGGGGGGTGATGTGATCTATGCCAAACAGATGAGAGAAAAAAAAAATTCGCTCAAGACAGCAGATTGATCTTCAGAGCCCAAGAAAAGGAATCAAGGGCAGAGATAAAGTTTCCTAATAAGAAATATCAGATACCTGGCATGCATAACTGGGGGACGGAGCTGTTTAGTTCCTTACTGTTAGTCCTCCAGGACAGCAGGAGAGCATCCTCCTGAACAATAGAGGGGCTGTTACAGCACAAGCTGGCTGACACCTCATGCACTGCCAACCTCCCTGAAGGCAGCTGCCGGCTCCCTCGCTATGGGTCACAGGCCATACCTTCCCGCCCCCTCGCTAAGGGACACCAAGGCAGCTACTGAGTCAGACCCGGCCTCACCCTTTGAGGAGAGTCCCCTTGAATTTCCAAGTTCTCCAGTTGAGAATACACTAAAGGAGGTCCAGATCTGAGCATGGAACATTATCCTTCCTGCATTCTCCACAAATTCATCTGCTATATTCGCATCAGGTAGAGTACGTGCAGTGGACTCAACCGCATCCTCAGAAAAAACCTCAGAGCCAAAGTATCTAATTTACTACCCTAGGGGAAATCAGCCTAAACCAAGATTACTTCCAGGCAAGCTTTCCCTGTGATGGGGGAACAAGGGAGCAGCTCTGACGTCTTTCATCACCATAACTAACACCAGACACCCATCCACCTGAGGGAAATGGCTGAACACAACTAGTAGTTGATAAATAAGATTGATATACGTTCCTGTGATTTATTTAAAAAACCTGTTAACCTGAGAGGAAACATCAACGTGCTACTCAGTTAAAGAGACATATGCAGCCCCTGAGTGTTACTGCCTACACACAAAAGCATGTACACACACTTTAAAATAAGTACCAGAATGCTGGTTACATTTAACATCATTCCTCACTCTTTTGAGCCTTGGATAAATAGTATTTTAAAAATACAAGATCTAATAAAGTCTCCATGATATTTGTACTTAATTAACTGCATCCAGGGAAGCAAAAGCTCTTTTGAGCTTCCAAACTTCAAAAATACAGTTTAAAGAAGCAAGAACTGATATATTTACTTCAATCCCTGGGAAAGCAATGGAACAAGGACTCTTTAAAAGTATTACAAGCCAAACGAAGCAGGTGATTGGGATAACCCAGCACAGCAGCAACAATGGCAAATGGGATCCTGGGCTGTATCCACAGAGGCATTACTACAGAGATAGAGATGTGATCATCCCAATCTACTCAGTGCTTGTCAGGCCACACCTGGAATACTGTGTCCCTTTCTGGTCTCCTAAGTTCAATAAAGATGCAAACAGACTGGACAGGGTCCAACAGAGATGATCAAAGATCTGGAGAACCTACCCTATGAGAAAAGACTGAAGGAGTTAGGTGCCTTCTTCCTGGAAAAGAGGGCTCAGGTGGAATATAATCACAGTATTCCAGTATTAAGTGCAGATCCAAAGAGGATGAAGGTTCTCTTTTCACAAGGAGTCACATGGAAAAGACAAGGGGCAACGGCTACAAGTTGCACTGGGAGACATTCCACCTCAGTGTAAGAACGAATTTTTTTAGAATAAGAACAATCAATCACTGGAACAACCTCCTCAGGGATGTGCTGAAGTCCCCATCACTGGAGGTTTTCAAGATGCAGTGGGACAGGGGGCTAATCTAGCTTCCTTTCCATCCTTGTATCAGATGATCTTTGAGGTCTCTTCCAACCTGGGCTGTTCTATGGTTCTATGACTCTAAAATGCAAATTAAAGACTTACTTTCTTCAACCCTTTAAGAATACAATTACAGATCACTTCCTAAATTAGTTATTATACTTTCTCAGTATACTTTTTCAACCTACAAGTTGATTCACTGAATCATTCAACCTACTTTTTCATTCATAAAATTCATGTAGCACCTTTAGAGCCCAAGCAGTAGATAAAATTCTTAAGCGTATCCTCAGCAGCGAATGCCACTGACAATATGGGAAATCCCAACCTAAGATGTGCTGCATGCTTAGTTTCTAATTGTCTCTTGTTTAGTCCCTTATGAAAAAGCCAAACTTTTGGATGAGTATTATTATCCTAATATGTCCTTGTAGGACACTATCATGGTTTAACCCCAGCTAGCAACTAAGTACAACACAGCTGCTGGCTCACTTCACCTCCCGCTTCCTCCAGTGGAGAATAGGAGTAAAAGACAAGGAGGCTTGTGGATTGATATAAGAGCAATTTAATAATTGAATATAAATTAATAATACAGTGCTGCTAATAATATTAACAAAACTACTAATAATAAGTAATTAAAATTATAGAAAATAAAAAATATGATACAGTTGCTCACCACCTGCCGACCGATACACAGCCAGGTCTTGAGTAGCAAGAGTCAGGGCCAGAAAGCTGGACCCCGAGAGTGATCGCAGCAGACTCTAAGTGAGCCCCATGAGCAAGAGGGTGACCAAGAAAGCCAACTGACCCACCAACTAACAAACAAACAAAACCAGCTAATGCACAAACAAATGAGCTAACAAGCTACAAAACTATGGACCCCTGGACTACCCTCAGCTTACACACTGAGCATGACCTGGCAGGCCAGAAAGCTGGACCCCGAGAGTGATCGCAGCAGACTCTAAGTGAGCCCCATGAGCAAGAGGGTGACCAAGAAAGCCAACTGACCCACCAACTAACAAACAAACAAAACCAGCTAATGCACAAACAAATGAGCTAACAAGCTACAAAACTATGGACCCCTGGACTACCCTCAGCTTACACACTGAGCATGACCTGGCATGGAATGAAATACTCCTTGGGTTAGTTTGGGTTAGCTGTCTGAACTGTGTCTCCCCCCTCACTGCTTGCACTGAGAAAGCTGGGAACACAGCGAGTATCAAAAGCTGTAAAAGTCCTTGAATTAGTGCAAGCACTCCCCAGCACCAACTAAAAAAACACCTTATCAGTACTCTTCTCAGGGCAAATCCAAAACATAGCCTCATACCAGCTACTGTGAAGAAAATTAACTCTGTACTGACTAAAACCAGCACAGACACGATATTTTTTTAGAAAAGACCTGTGCTGTGGCACCACCGAATCCTCAGATCTTTTGATAATTTATGACTCTAAGATGTTGGCAGCTTGAGTACAAATATATTTTGATCTTCAGACCACACAATCCAGTGCGATCACTGAAAGAAAACCAATACAGCAAGTTCTGAATGCAGCTGTAGTAGGTAGGAGTCACTAGACCAACACACCTAGTTTTCAGAAATGCTAATAACTTACACTTTCCACTAATTATGCTTGAGGAGCTGCCATTTGGCTTGACAGTGAGAAGCTATCAGACAGAGCACTCAAATCTGGCACATTGCCTCACCAGACAAATGTAGACCTGTCCAACACAGATCAAGACCAATGAGACTAAACAGCAACAGGACAGAGGAACACAGAGAACATGTTAATGGAACGGTTCACTTGAGCCATTTAGCTCTTCCCTCTGTGTGAAAGTGCCCCAAGATACCTGGATCCATTTACTCATCCTCCCAGACAATGCCTCATCCAGCCTTCTAAACTGTTCTTTCAGTGTACTCAGGAAGATCACATGCTAGTGTCGGCTCCAACAGCACTATGGCAATTCATGTAGTTAATCTTTTTAACACATCAGCTTTATGTACAATAAAAATAACTCTTAATTTAAATTATCATGCAGAAAAATACAACATTCCCAAGCTCTATGATTTCTGTTGAAGGAAGGTCTGTAGGGATGTTGATGCTATTTTCAAAATAAGACGGGAGAAAAGTCCAGTAAAAGATTTCTCTGCTGACATCTCCTAAAAATCAGCTTTCAGATAAGAGATCTTCAAGACACCTTTAAAACTGGTAGATCCTGTATTATGAGAAATTAAAACTCAGAGCCCTATAGCCAGGGACAGAAACAGAGAGAGGCCATAGAATAGCAGACTCTCCCCAACCACTTTTGCCCACATTGAGAGACAAACAGTGCAGCAAATGAAGCTTCGACCTGGCTGCCCTTGGTCAAGTGACTTTCAAATGTGTATCAAGCTTAATATGACCATCCAGCATTGAAGCCATGAAGATATGATCACCAGAGCTAGATTCTGCATCAAAACAATGTCTCAGATTACTGAAAATTAAGGACTTTTTGAAAGCACTAAGCAAAGTTGCGTACCAGTTCTACATTCTGAAAAGCAATGTCCTGGAAAGGGGCAAAGATAACTTCACAGCCTATTTAAAATAAAAAAGGGCTTTTTCAGATGCAGAATGAACCACACTTTGGTGCTAGTGTCAAGACAGTCAAAGGACATAAATTATATAGTATTTGCTGAATTTGATGCATAGCGCTGTGAAATACCACTACTACCCAGAGTATCTGCCAATCTCCTTCTCAGACTACCAAAGTCAGGATAAAATCCTTCAAGATTTATCAGAAAGATCAGTCAAAAGAAACAATTTAATACTTACCCAATACTTAAATCCCACTTTCTCACAAAACAGCAATACAGAAGCAATGACTGTATAAAAGTTGCAATTGGGCTCTGTGGCATTAGAACAGACATTTATCACCTACTCTCAAATCCAGAGACAAACATGTAGTTTGCAAGACATTCAGAAAGGTTGTATTTCTTCTCCCTGATCCAAAGGCTTCTGAGAAGGCCACAGTTATGTCTCTGAATGTGTTTTATGGATGGAACTTAACTGCTTTCTTCAATTCCATTGGTGACAGAAAGGTACTCTCAGAAGACCTGGTTAGCATCCTTGATTGTATTCCAGAGAATACAGAGAAGGTATCAAGAGTTCAAATTAAATTCCTTCATGCATGTCACAAATCTGTGTATCAAAGATGTTAATGTATTTTTATGAGCATTAATAAATGGAGCTAAATGGCTCATATCACAAGAGATCTTAAAAGTACTGAGCGATCAGAACAAAAATGTTAGTTGACACTTATTTACTGATCTCCCTCACCTTCCCCAAAACCTTCGAGTTTACCCCAACTTTTCTGCCCAGGAGAGCTCCTCACGGGAGGATTTACCTGCCTCCAAGACAGAAGGAAGCTGGTATGGATTGACACTGCTGTTCACTGATGCTAAAACAAAGCAAGAAGGCTTTTCTCCTGCTAGATATAACACAGATGTACATCAATTCTTACAAAGAAGCAGAATTAAATTTGTTACATTCTTCTCATACTCCTAATATTTTATATTGTCAAGTATTGATCTCAATCCCAATGCCAATGATGAAACAAAGGCAAAATGCTTTCAAAGATAAGCCTTCAATTTCTGTCATGATACACTATCATGATGTCTATTAGAGCTGAGATACACTAACCAGTTGGCAGCCTCTAATGAGGAAAAGGCTTCAAAGCTTGTGCGTGTTCCTTTTTCTGGCTACACTCTTCTCCCTCCAGCCCCAAGGCCAGCTTTGGTGTACTGGAAAATCACAGGCCAGGCTGACTAAATTCTATAATGCAGCAAAACAATTTTCTTTTGGCCAGGTTTGTTTTTGCAACAGATCAGGTGAACAGTTTGATATATGATGGGATGCGATAGAGCTAGTGCAGAGGCACGAACATGTATCCAGGCACAGAACATGCCCCTTTCAACAGAACCAAGGTGTTAATTCAGCTTAAGCCATAACATGAATCCTCAGCTTGAAAATGCAAGTGTAAGTTCCTGTCACTTACTTGAATCCATACCCATTCCATCATCCAAAAAACACAGCATGAATCCACCTCGTAGGTCTTCCCGTCGCTCTACAAGAGAAGTTATTCACTACTCCCACAAGCAAAAGTTCAAAGTTCCATAAAATTTAAAATTTTAATAAAAGTTAAAAGTTCCAGCTGTGTCCAGCTGTGGAGCCCTCGACATCAGAAGGATACAGACCAGTTGGAGCGAGTCCAGAGGAGGCCATGGAGATGATCAGAGGGCTGGAGCACCTCTCCTGTGATGAAAGGCTGAGAGAATTGGGCTTGTTCAGCCTGGAGAAGAGAAGGCTCTGGGGAGACCTTATTGCAGCCTTCCAGTACCTGAAGGGGACCTACAAGGAAGCTGCGGGGGGACTTTTTGCAAGGGCCTGTAGTAACAGGACAAGGGGTAATGGGTTTAAATTGAAAGCGGAGAGATTTAGATTAGAAATCAGGAAGAACACCTTCCCGGAAAGAG